ATTCATCATGTGATAATACGGCGGTCGCCGTCGTATTGTCATGTGATCACACTTTCGCTTCTCTGATTCGGTCCTGTATTTAGAAAAACTCAAAATCATCGTACTGGGCTTCCAAGGCTTGGCCAATAGATGCCCTGATACAAAGCACACTAACCTTAGGTGGCCTTGAATCCCGAGACTTCGTAAGGCGCATGGGTACTAATGGAGCGTGATCCCGGCTGCCCGGCCGCGTGAGATGACAGATTATCGTACTGTACATAGCTCATCCGAGCTTTACCTCCCCTGTCAAAATGAGAACAGATGCAAAAATGAGCCTTTTTTGATCTCCCTTTGCCCAATGAGGACATCATTTAAAGCTATCACAGCACCGCTGATATGCAGGATGTCTCAAGAACCAGGGAAACTTGCGTCGATCACACTGAGAGAGGATATCTCAATCCATGGGGCGAGTTTCCAACCTGTCTTTTTGATCAGGAGTCTACTATCATATCAAACTTTCCCCAAAAGGACCAGCTGCGCCTGGATGGCCTAAAATCCCGACAAAGGTGATATTGAGCTCGAAATATAGCCCTTTGGACCCCCATTTGCCTAATGAGGACAGGATTAACGACTATCACAGCGTGGCCGATGCTGGTGCAAAGCGCAGCCAGGGGTGACTTTACTTATTTGAAGGCCATAACTCTGATGCAACAGATTAACAATAGTGTTTGTACGGGCCCTGGACAAGTTTTTGCCGTCCAACATTTGCTGAAATGAGGATGGCATACCCCTTCGACCATCGAAAAAGCCCCCATTTGAGGCGCACAGAGACTGGCTTCCTGAGAGCTATAAACCACATCACATCGCTCCGCGATGGATCATTTCAAAGTGGACCGACTTGGCTGCCTTTTCTTGCAAAATGTATCCTAACATCCCATATGCGCTTCTGTCGGCGGCGCTCATCGTGCTAAGTACAGTGCATCTCATCTTGCTTACCGTTCACCGCCCCCAGCCTCACCGATTGCCTGAGATATCAATCTTCGTTCTCTTTGTCTGCGTCAATGCTGTTGTCATTGGCATTGGTCTGTCAGGCTTAAGGCGCGGGGGTGAGCAGCCCCTTCTACCGAGATGGTGATGGATAAAATGCTAAAAGCTTGTTTCAGATACGCCAGCATTTTACTATCCCTTGGGAATATGTACAGTGTTTCCGCTAGCCCTTGAGGTACGTTATTCCCAGTCCCCTACTTTGGTCCTTGCTAATCGCGATGTCTAGATGATTCGGCAAACCAAAATCCAGGCCGGACCACTTACGAACGCCCTCCTGCATCGATTATTTCTAGGATATTGTTTTCTGTCCCCTGCGGTAAAGCTCGGGTTGATCTTATGGGGTGCTCTCCCCCCCAGTCTTGATAGGCGTGTGCTCATTGAGTTAGTTCAGTCGCCTATGAGACGTCGGTGAAAGGTACAGCTGTGGTTGTATCTATCGACTACGCGATACTCGCGATTGCCGGTCTGCTTTTTTGGGGCGGAATTCGCGGTATACCATCGCAGGGCCCTGTGATCCGTGAAGTTACAATCCATGCATTTCTTGTTATCGTAACGGCAGGGTTTGCCGCAGGTGGACTTGTCTACGACTGGCCCTTCTGGATCCAAGTAAGTTCAGTGAAACCGCAGCTCTCGCTTCAACATGTGCTGACACGGCTCCAGGTGATGTTGATTATCACTATTAGTGCCTATATGGCTCGAAATATCTCCGCTCAGTCTGCTGAACCGGGGAACGCAGTGCCGTTAGCGAATTTCAGCGATGTCACCCTCTGTTCCTGATTGAATTGGAATGTGGCCTGTGGATACTAGTCGGTGGAGCAAGGCCTCATGCTGTTCTATTTACTTGCTTCTAATTGCTTGAACGTTGAATAGTTTTAGCTAATTCCATTAATCTGCTCCCCCTTGTCTTTATCTTTGCTGGGAAGCTTGTCGTGCGGCTGGATGCTTTAGAACGAAGGGTATGAAGGGTATTAAAGCTAAAGACTCGAGAACAATTTCTCCGGAGCTATATGATATTCTTATGGATCCAACCAAATTTGGTTCAACCCATCCCCAATGTTAAGCTCGATAATTGTCAACAGAAGGCACCCCCCTTTCTGGGGGAGTGCCTACTGATGTCATGCTATAGTTGCTTTGACCTCTACAGCTGCGCCGTGATGGCCTAGACTCCCGGCCCGAAAATGAGTCTTTTCAGCCAGGGGTGCCAGGCTGTGTCGAGGGCACGGGGAAACTTGCGTCGATCACCTGGAGCGCGAGTGCCATATACAAACCCAGCCTGAGTCCGTGCCATCCTCATGCAAGGGATCACTTCCTTGATACTAATTGAGGCCAAACTTTGCACCTCAATGCCTTTGACTATAAGAGATGCTTCACCGCTCGCTCGTTGCCTTGTTCGAAATACAGGCTGCTCATCCACGTTGGTTCGCACTCGGATTACACGCAAGGAGAAAATTTGCTCCCATCGTTTCATGTGAAGGGCGTGCTTACTATTATCATACAAAGTTGGTTGACATATTATCCCTTTGCCATATGAGTCTTCCAGTTTGAGTTTGAACCAACCTACATTGGCAACATTCTTTTACTTGTCTTTGGTGGGAAATCACTGACGTAGAAGCAGAAAAATGCGCATGACAATCATCGCCCAGACCGAAAACTTTTCAGTCAAATTTGAGCACACAGTTCAGCGGAGCACCGTTGCCAGCTTGCAGGGAGCACCTGTAAAATCCTCTAGTTTTGAGATCATACCAACGGTACATGCCCTCCCCCAAATGTGGTAGCTTCGCTAACAGAGCCAGGCTTCGGCCCCTGTTCTCCAACTGCTAAAGCGTGGAGACAGCTACTTTGTCAGTGCAGGCACTGGCAAGTTACTAGAAGCCTCACTATCCGATCTTATGAGCTCGTGGGCGGGGGTTGCCATGGCGTTTGAGGCTGGTTATATCAGGGATGTAATGCGATTCAGCCGGTCGTGCCCATTGAGTAGTGGCCACCTGCATATCATTGATGAAAGAACTTCTATTCCTCGCGCCGTTACGCTCTCTTTTTATGGATCACACACCCGCACCATGACTATTCCCTTTGAAGCTCTGAATACGTGGCCTGGACGGATCATACAGGGGCAAAACACAAGACAATCTTCGGGGGGGCAGTGCACCTATGCTTGGAGGGTTGGTTCTGCCGTCACTATGAGCTTTGTGATCGGATTATGGACAAACTTGTGGATGTACATACATGAATGTTGCGATTGGTGTCGGCGTTGGATATAGTTTCTCGGGACCTGCGATATGATGAATTGACTGCTTGTAGCGACGGGAAAGCTTGGTGTGTTTTTATTTGACTTTTCCCTGGCCACGTTGAATAGTTTTAGCTATTTCCGTCTAAATTTATACCATAACAATACTAATTAACCTAGCTTCCGAGTTTCATTTCCATTCTTGCCATTATCCCTGCTGTGGAAAGCCATACTGAGAAGCTTGTCGTGCGGCTGGATGCTTCTACTTCACAAAAGAGGCGAACCCGTAAGTATCCTGTTTGACGG